GGAAAGAGAATTTTTTTATTTTATTTATTTTCCATTTAAAGTTTGTTTTTCTCTTAAAGGTTCGAAAAAATGTTTTTAAATGTTTTTAACTCAAAAACTATTGATATTGCACCAGATATTCTTGCTAAAAACAAGTTTAGATTGAGCTATGAATCTATTATACGAAAAAAAGTATGGAGAATCTGAAATAATCTATACAAACTTTATAATTTGAAGCAAGTTTACCTACCTGGAATTTCACTCGATTGCACCATCATATTATACGTAATCCCATTGTTCAGGCTACTGTACTCTGGTTGATATTGCTGTTCTGTAATTTCGATATTATTGTATACAATATATATGCGAACGGGTTGCAGTGGTTCGGCAATAAGATCGCCGGTCTGCCTCTTCGAAGTGAAAATGATATTGTGCGCGATATATTCCTGAAGAATGTCCGGTAATAAAACATGCTTTTGAGGTGGCAGTATTTTATTTAATTTAGCTTCATAGGACGATGCCAAAGTTTCCTTAATTTGATTTATATCTCTGCAAAAAAATTTACAATAGTTTGTTATAATGTAATCTATCATTATTAGCGTGGATAATTACGAAAGTTTATGTAATGTATCTATACTGACAATGAAATTTGTGTGAACTACGCACACATACATTTATTTCATTATAATTTATTAAAACATTAATATGGGAATAGAAATATTTAAAACATTTGTTTTACAAGTAATTCTCTACATATTGAAATAAGAAAAATATAATGACAATATAACATTAAAATATATAATAAGCTTGTTAAACAATTTATTGAGTTAACTATTTTAAATAAAATATTTAGTTTAATTATATAATAATATAATCGGCAACTTTTTAGTTTATATAAATGAAAAGATCTTGTTATGCGGGAACATGCGTGATCATCAATCTTGACAAGAGTTTAAATAATCTCGACAGGCGATTAATTATATTGGGAATTAAAAATCGAGAACAATGTGAAGAATAGGAATACACTTCCTCTGGCCAATCTTGATATCATGCCAAAGAATATCTTTTATATGTAGTCTAAATTTATAGATTAGATTAAATCAAGATGAATGATATCGATATTCTTTGATCAATACATAAAATCAACGAGATAATTCCCAAGTATTTTCAAAAAATTTCTCTACATGATACGAATCATATTCGTATAAATAGTACAGTCATCTTCTATAAATAAATTAGCACTAGTTTCACTATGTTGTGCTTTGTTTATTAATAGTATAACAATTTGTATGGATATATCTATTTTTTAAATTTCATTAAGGTGGCATACCCGTTTGAAACCTCGAAATATGAGTACATTTTCTAGATTTTTTTGCAGCGCAGCGACTTGATAAAATTTTTAATTTTTTTACGATATTAACACAATATTATTAACTACATAAATAAAAATTTTCAGCTTAAAAAATTTTTTTTTTTTTAAGTTATGGGAATATGTGAGGAGCTTCTCTAAATTTTAGATGGCTGCACGGTATGCATGAAAACGTTTAGATCATAACTGAAATTAAAAATCCAAGTTTTTTTTTTATTAAACATTGTAATAGCTATTTGCTATCCAAGCATTTTTACAAAATTCTAAAAAATAAAAAAATGGCGGTGTGTTGAAAAAAAATATCGGTTTTTTTGAAAAAAAGTCCATCTTTTTTTTATAACAAAAAAATGGGGAATTGGATTAAAAGAAGGCTTCGTTTGCAGATGCGGAATCTTATTAGAAACTTGCATGTAAAATTTGAAATCAATCCGTCGAACGTAGCCCGAGTTTTCATGCACACCGTGCATAAGAACAAATCTGCAAATATTCGCATAACTCCAAAAAAAAAATTTTTTTGGGCTGAAAATTTTTATTTGAGTAGTTAATAATATTATATTAATATTGTAAAAAAATTAAAAATTTTTATCAACTCGTTGCGCTGCACAAAAATCTAAAAAAATATACTCATTTTTCGAGATTTCAAACGCATATGCCCCCTTAACAATAAGATTTACTATATATAACAAACAATTGCATTATGTGAAAACTGTTCTCATTTGTTAATATATTAACAACAATTGAATATTATATGAATTCTCTATGCACCCTTTATACCCATTATGAATTCTTTATGCATTCTTGATGACAAATATTACGAATTATCACTATTCCACAATTGCAACGAATCATCGTTAAAAATTAAATGCTTACTCCTCGTAATTCTCAAAGAACTGCACACACATCATGAGATTGTTTAAAATAAAACTATCAGGATCTCTTGCGATGGTTCTCCTCAATAGCTTCAATTCCACATCTTCATTCTCATCTATCTGTTTGCAGGGTTTGTTAGGTGGTTTAACTGGTTTTGATTTCCAGATTCCCATTTTTTTTTTTCACACAATAATAGAACAAAGTGCACTCTAGAGACGGCCACGTGGCGAGTGTCTCCACGTGAGAAGCGCGTCTTCAGCAACTTAATAATTGGTGCGCACTGTGTACACCACTCAGATTCACTATAGATCACTTAGATTCATTATACCAACACTTTCTCATCTTAATTTCAAGGTCAGCGATAGCGAGAAAACGGCATTATGTGTGCATGCGTAAGAACACGTTGATGACCGGTGAGACAGTAGTTCTCTCGCGGGGTGGTGATGTCGATAAATAGCTATCTCGGGCGTTATCGCAGTTTTTAATCAACGGCTTACTATCGGATATCGACAAATAGGCCGTCCTAAAATACTTGTGAAAAATCGCATCGGTGTCGATACGATAAAGCTTTGATATTTCACCGGCCTTGCCAGTGTTTAACACTTTCTTATCATCATGGGCCGGCATATATAATTACAAGGACAATATATTAGTCATGAATTATTTTCATTAATAATCCCGTTTCTTTTATTTTTATATTAATAATATCGACTAGAACATATATAAGTAATAATTACAAGTTATCATACGCAGATATGTATTGTCTCTTGAAACACAATCAAATTTTTATATTATTTCCTAGAATTATAGTAATGTACGCGAGTAACGAGTTTAATTCATCTTTTGTAACATCACGTATAGCAATACGTGAATAAAAATGCGATTATTATCTAATTTGTGCTAAATTTCTGTGTTAAACTCCTACCAGAATAACTTGACAAATTGCAGAATAATTAATTCTGGAGCAATATAATGCACAATTGCAAATAGATATTGTTTTTACATATACCTTTAATCATTTTCAGGGGAAAATAATTCTACTCTATCTAATAATCATCTACTTTTGGCAGATAAAAAGAATATATAAAAAATATAGCGTTATATATATATGCTTTAAAGATTATCTCATACGTTTATTACAATTTATGAGTGTTCTTAATTATAAGCGATTATCTCAGCTTTTTTGCTGTTATATCTTATCATGAATTTCTGCAATGCAGGTAGAATTAGTGGAATGGACGTTTGAAAATATCGCCATGAACGAGGATTCTAGTCCGAGCGAACATTTTGCTGACTTGTTGTCAAAAAAGGAATTTGATCTTGTGATTAATCTGTCAAAAAACGGTGGTGTTTCCGAATGTACGACACATGGTTATCGAACGAGAAGGCTAGCAATCGATTATTCTGTACCTTTAATTAGGGATGTTAAATGTGCGAAGCTTCTGGTCGAGGTAAGTATTTAAATTTGAACCTGCAAAAATATTAAATATAAAATTGTATGTGTAAGTATTAAATAAATATGTATAAACGATAAATTTTAGCTACCAAATATATTTCAAAAAATGAAATTCGATTAAACATAATGATTAAAATTAGCTTAGGTAACCGTTACCTCCTTCTAACCATTACTACATTCTATATCACTCTTACGTCAGTGATCAAAGATCATTTTTGATAAATAAGATTGTATTACTCATTCTTGCTTGTATAATTTGGCTCACATTGTAGATAAGGTATATTAAGTACAAAATTTACGCTGTCAGAAATTACATATTTTAAGATTATATTAATAGAACATCTCTCAATTTTTATTTATACACAAAACGCAAAATATCATTGTTTCTACAACAGAAAAAAACATTTTATAACTAAAAATAAAAATTTATTCCCAATCTATATCTAATATTCTTATATGTTGATATTTCAAAAACATCTATTGGGGTTTTCTGTTATAAAAATGCAATATATACATAATATATACCATCTTTTATTGCCATTAAAATTTAACTAATCATATTACGCTCTAATCATATCGTAATAAAATTACGACAGGCGCGCACAAATTTTATTTAAACAAATGTAATATTTCTATTAAAAGTTCTGTATACAAAATAGTAATAATAATTGTTTCAAAATTATTGATAATTTCTTTAATCTTTATTGATAACATTCCTTTTATTTAAACAGCTAAAAAGATAATTAGTTTTCTTGACGTGGCGCAACCGCGTTGCAAAATACAGATAACGTTAATTATATGCTCAATTAGTTTTTTGTGATAAGATATTAGAAAAAATAAATATTATTTAAAAGAAAAAATCATTACTTTTATTAAAATTTATTCTAACATAAATTTTTTTTTGTAAAAAATAGATAGATTATGTAATCGTGTAATATAAATATGTACTTATGACAACGTACAATTTTATATATATATATATGTAATCTTTCATCTCTATGTAGGCAATGAGAATGATTGATGGAAAAGCACCGCGGATGAAAACATACATCGATTGTATATCATCACACAGGATGATCAGACTACCCGGCCTCATTGACGTGCATGTACATACTGGAGGCATTACAACGATCTTTGCAATGCCCAATACCAATCCAGCAGTAGTGGACCATCAGACTTTTGCCATTGCCAAAGAAGTAAGAATTTATACATTTTCCAGCAAAATTTATTTTTATATAATATGTGAGAAATTGTTTTATAATTTTTTTACATTGATGTATAAAAAGATTGCAAACACGGTTTCTTTTATATCAAATAAGAAAAGAAATCTCTCTCTCGTAGATATAAATACGCATATGTATATATGTATATTATTTACGAATTATATTATATGCGTTCTTGGTAAAAATACACAATGCACAATAACTAAAGCAATTTTTATAATTAGAATTAAATAGATAAATCTGCATATGTATCTGCTGTATATGTTTTCGCAATTATCCTTTATCGAATGTATAATGTTGAGCATAGTAAAAAAAACATCAAGACTCTTAGTATGCTTGCTAATACCGAGGAAAACATGTATGTGCTAAATTCTGAAACTTTTGAAACTTTTGATTATTTGAAACTTATTTGTCTTATTATGACATAATGTAATTAGACCATCATAAACAAAGCATTTTACTTACAAGTGTTCAAGAATCTGGTTACTAAACTACGAATGGCTAGGATAAGATGACTATAACATGTAAAAAGTATCTCAAAAGGGCAAAAGAAATATTTCTTTCTGTGTTTACGCGATAATTTGAAAATGAACTATCATATACTTACGGGGGCGTTCCGACAGTCTTAGGCGCCCCTACGCTGGAATTTGTTCGCGCGCTCCAACGCGAGGCTGCAAGAGCAAAAAAAATTGTCTCAAAAATTACCGCTTCGTTTCTTTTTTTTTTAAATTTTAATATTTTAATATTTTTTTTCTTTTTCCATGTTTCAATATTTTAATATTTTTTTATATTTTGAAATTGTTGTATATATTTTCCATTTTTATATTTATTTTCACATTATCGAAGGTTAATATATTTTATATCTTTTTCTTAATACGTTTTTTAAAAAGGTAAAATAAAAGCAATTTAAAAAGAGGTACTTTGTCGGGCCTTTGAGCTCGGCAGTGAAAGGGATAACGCACACAAGCGTACATGTAATGCGCAGAGTGCTCTGCGTTATCCCTCCACTGCCGAGCCGGTGAGCCAAGCCAAGACTTCGTTCTGGCATCGTTGCTTACTGTTTACCGCCTTATGTAGTATAGCGTAGGCTATCTCTGAAGCAAATTTTTTTCTTGCTGCCACGCTGCCATTCGATTAAACAAGGTTTTACAAGCGGGCGGCATTGAGCCGGGTAAGGGCGGTCATCGCAGCGGTCAATTTTCAGTCAGTTTTTGGACACTTCAAAAATTACTGGCGCCTAAAATTTTGCGCCCCTACAAATTTTGCGCCCTACCCCATCCGCACGCCCCCGTATACTTATAAAAACTGATCGCTGAAATGACCGAGATGAATTTTTAACATCGTGATATCATATAATAACAATAGCTTAACAAATGATATTTTTATTGTCATATGAACAATAGTAATTTTTTGTATAATTAAAAAACTATTACTATACACATATGTTTATTTATTAGTGCGTGCACAAAAAATAGATATCTTACATAAATAGTTTAAAATTAGTTAGATTTTGCATATTTTTTGCTTATGTAAGAAAAAAACTTTACTTTCTCATCTAAAATTATTAATAGTTTCACAAATTTTTGGAAAATTTTTAATTATGAAGTATTTTAAATAATTTTTGCCATCATAAGATAATTAAATTATTTATATTACTCATACTGTAATAGCGTGCTGCTGCTGGTTCACATTGCGATTATGCCCTCTTCATCGGCGCCTCATCGGACAACTATAATATCATACCAGAAATAGCACCGCACGCTGCCGCTCTGAAAATGTACCTGAACGAAACATTTACGACACTACGTCTCACGGATCTTACTGTTTGGATTAAGGTATAAGAAATATCAAACAGATTGTGTGTGTCAATATATGTGTATATGTGTGTTTGTGTCTAGTTCAAGTCTAGTTTATTTATTAATATAGTGTATGTATTTATGTTTTTCACGTAATATGCGTAATTATCGTAAAATTTATATTAGCAATTGTATAATGTAAAGCTGTTTTTTCTTCTTGTTTTTTTTTTTGCAGCATTTCGAAAACTGGCCTAAAAAATATCCTTTGTGTGTGCATGCGGAAGGACAAACTTTGGCTGCGGTTCTACTGCTGGCGAAATTGCATAATAGGCCGATTCATGTATGTCACGTGGCACGTAAAGAGGAAATAGAAATTATACGCAAAGTTAAGAAAGAAATGGTAAGTATATCAACAACATCTATTAACAAGAGAAACAAACCTAACTAAATTATAAAATCAAAGTACTTGTATAAAAAATATATAACAAACAGCAATAATTGGGATAATAATTGTAATAAAAATGAGTAATAAAATTAAAAGTTAATTTTTTTAATGTGATTATAAATTTTATGTTTAAAATTAAAAACAATTTTAATTTATATTTTAAAAATTATTTTTGGATTTTAAATGATAAAGTATTTCCCTAAAGATATCAATCATTTATATATTGCATATATATTCTTGCAGGGATTGGCAGTTACGTGCGAGGTATGCCCGCATCATTTATTCCTTTGCCAAGATGACTTGGATCTGATAGGCAGCAAAAAAGGTCAGGTAAGACCTATTCTAGGAACAAAAGAGGACCAACAGGCTCTTTGGAAGAATTTGGATGTTATTGATTGTTTTGCAACCGATCATGGTACGTAAAGATTTTTTCACTATTTCTCTAATTTTGATTGTAACTATAATTACGTGACACAAATTGTACTTTTTAAATTTAAATTTGCACTATAATTTAAAAGTAAAATAAAAACATCAATATCTTGAAATGATAATAATCAACATTATTCTATAACTCAAAGATAAAAAAATGAATGTTTCATGTTCATATAACACCTACTTTATTTTGCTTTTAAGACATACAAGAATATTCCTTTTGTTCTGAGGTATTGATATTATATCGGATACTTGCATTTATTTAGAAATAATAAGCAATTAGTGTTCTGATAAAAATGAATGTTTTGATAATTTACAAAATTATTGCTTATGTATGTGTGTCATTTATTCAATTGAAAAAGATAGGTAATTTTTAACTAGAAATGAGATGTATAATTTACATCTTTGTTTTGATATGCCGATTTGTATTTAAGCTCCACATACTGTGCAAGAAAAGACTTCCGAGAAACCACCGCCAGGATTTCCCGGATTGGAAACAATGCTACCGTTGTTACTTAATAGTGTGCATGAAGAAAGATTGACTATGGAGGTATTTACTTTTCAAGTGTATTGTAAAACTTTTAACTACGCTTGGCTGACGTAACGAATAAAGAATGTTGATAAGCATTTTGCTCTCGATAACAAACGCGGCTGTTATATATACGTCATTCTCTGATTTGGAGATAAATTTTTATATTTAACATGATGTAATAAGAGAGATGTCTAAAATAAGCTTGTTGTAAAGAAAAAAATCCTTCGATTAAATTTTATGAAAATTGACATATTATTGTCATAATTTTTTTATTTGGGGATTACTTATGTTCTAATTTTACGTAATAAATCGAAACTTAGAAGTATTTTGTCAGAAATTCATTTTGTGTTCTTGATGAGATTTTAAAAGAAACTTTCTAATTAAGATATTACAAAATTAATATACTTTAACAGTGTCTAATATAAAAATTTTATTTCCTCTTTATGCTCTTTGTGACGTTGAACTATGTAAATTGTTAACAAAAAATAATTTTTTTAAATTTTGTTTAGATACAATTGCGTATTTGTTACGCAATCATCCATTACAGATGAGCGTTATTTTCTGATGAATCTTTTATTCATATTGTACAAAGATTTATTTGTGGTACTGATGATAAAAATGGGAAAATCTCTCTTGTTAATCACTACATGTTAAATTTATAGTTTCAATATCGTAAATTTACTTTTATTAAAATAATATTTTTGTAGTTTACGATAAGATAAGAATATTTATAAACTCTCTCTCTCTCTCTCTCTCTCTCTCTCTCTCTCTCTCTCTCTCTCTTCAGCAGAAAATTATGTAATAGTTAAAATAAGTATATAAAAATATTGAATCACTATAAAAATTGTTGTATTTTTTTATTACGCAGGGACTAATTGACAGATTATATCGAAACCCCAAAAGAATCTTTTCTATTCCTGATCAGCGTAACACATATGTCGAGGTCGATCTAGATGACGAATGGATCATTCCGGAAGCAATGCCATTTAGCAAATCAAAATGGACGCCTTTTGCTGGTATGAAGGTTCGCGGTTCAGTGCATAGAGTAGTCTTGAGAGACGAGGTTGCTTACATCGATGGAAAAGTTTTGGTAAATCCTGGATTCGGGCAAAACATTAGGGATATACAATACAAGACAAAAGTTCCACCGATACATCACATACCGATGACATCCGGTCAATCTACAGATGCCATCTGTAAACCACTATCGGACGGTCTTTTATCGCCAAATCATGAAAAATCTAACGTAGATGCTGATTGGTATGAGGAGGAACAAATTGGTACGATAATGATAAAAGAATTGTTACTCGCTAATGAATAATATAAAAAAATCTCTTGAAAGAGTTTTAATATATATATATTATTACATTTCTAAAATTAATTCTCTATTAGTAAAAATTTATCTTGTCTAGTTACAATGAAATATTCCAATTGATATATTTATTTTTTATGAGACCGAATATACACACACATTACGCATACATATACATATAATATTGTGTATGTAGAATAACGTTAAGATATAGCAACATTTTTAAACCAAGTAAAATTTATATATAAGAGAGTAAATGCATATATTATTTTTCGCATTGCATGCCTTGTCACTGTAAAAATAAAACAATTTATAGCTTTCTATTATAAACAATGAGATATAATGCAAAATTATAAATTTATTTTCCATGTTAGAGTCACATACGCATTTCCCGCAACTGGCATCGCACAAGTCGAATGTACATTTTGCACTAGATAGTGACACAAGAGAACATTCTAAGGTGTTACCCTCTCAAAGGACTAGCTCGCCCTTGCCAATTAGCAATGTTACCAAATGCAAAAGCGACAGTAATTCAAATCTTTTTACGTCTGCTGACGCATCTGTTTCAACCATTCGTGTAAGCAGCAGTCTAATCGGACATCATGTACTTACTGTAGACATATTTAACAAAGATATATTAAAAAATATATTTGAACTGGCGGATACTTTCCAAGGTCGTATTAAAAGAAAGGAACCGACGGACTTTTTAAAGGTAATTAAAAATAATTAAAGATTATAAAAATTTATAA